AATACAGGGGCCTTGGTAATTAGAATAGGGTTTGGGGCATGATAGAGTATGAGTAGATCACGACCCAGAATAAGGGGGACCTATATGGAGCCCTTCAACCTTTCATAGTCCCCCCTATAAAAGACCAGGGATCCCTGCCAATAGTTCAGGAAGGTCCAAGCCGAGGTCCCATCAAAGAGTATGTGGGATCGGCACCTCGTGGGCAGTCGGTTTCCCGGTTCTGCTAGCCTTTGTCCCGGGTTGTTGAACTTGAAAACGCACTTTTTCAGATCGCTCGAGACTTTTTAAGATGTGTTTGAACATGTCCCCAGAAACCAGTATTCTGCTCGTTAAGGCCCCTAAATTGGGTCTAAAGCATAAAGCGCTGTTGGTCCAGTCTCCGCGGGTGGTAGTGAGGGGTGTTGACCTCGGTCTCTTGGGCTTGGGACTTAGATGAGAGTAATGTAATCAATGGACACTACTGCCACCGCTACTGCTGCTACGACTAATAACAATAATACTCATAATGCTAATAGTAATCATAATAATTAGTAATAATAGTAAGTTCAACAATTTTTTTATAAAAAAAAAAAAGCAACCATCACAATGAAATAGTTGATATCAGATGTTCGCACGGCTGATCAGGAGTCCCAGCTCGATCATTTTGCCACTCGACAGCTGGTACATGGTCAGAAGGACGGCCACCCCTTTAGGGTTTGGGGTTTAGGGTTTAGGGTTTAGGGTTTAGGGTTTAGGGTTTAGGGTTTAGGGACAAGTCCAAAAACCGCCAACCCTACAACCTATGCCCTAAGCCCTAAACCCTAAGCTAAACCCGAAACCACTACCTCCGTGTGTTGTTTTAACCTTCGCCTTCGACACAACAGCAGCTATGGCCTGAATAATATAGGGGCCTTAATAATTGGGGTTTTGGGGCCCCTTGTGCTATAACTACAAAGAAGGAACCCCCCAAAATAGTATTGGTGATAAATTCTTTGGGCCCCTACAGTACCCTGTCAAGTGGAGTGGAGTGGGCCTCTCAAGTGCATCCAGCTCGTTTGTTGTGAGTTCGGTTATGTTGGACTCGGGGACTCAGAGCCCTAAACCCTAAACCTGGCGAGGAACAGAAGCCCTAAAGCCTAGAAGCCATGAACCCTAAACCCCTAAACCCTAAACCCTAAAACCCCTAAACCCCTAAACCCCTAAACCCTAAACCCTAAACCCTAAAACCCCTAAACCCCTAAACCCCTAAACCCATAAAGTCCCAAGGTCCGAGAGCTGAGGCGGATGCCATCCCAAGGTTGCCTTGAAGTTCGCAGTGCTCTCGTCAACGCCGGAGAGTCTGAGAGAAGTTCCTTCGTCCTAAACCCTAAACCCTAAACCCTAAACCCTAAACCCTAAACCCTAAACCCTAAACCCTAAACCAGAACCGCCCCGAATCTGAAGCTCCATCCCTCCAGAGCCTCGAAACAATCCCTTCCTCCACATGACCCGTGTCCAACTCGATGATTACAGGCGCAAAAAAGCTATCTTGTTTCACTTTCTCAAAGCCAAGAACCGTGACATCCCAACACGAATGACTAACAACCGGAACCCCAGAGCAAAACCAACATCAACATTTCCGCGAGGGAACCGGCTGCCCGACATGCAGGCTTGGCTGCCCGAGATGCAAGAGGGTTGCCCGAGATGCGAAAGAATCGCTTCGACGGGTCCGGCCGAACGGCCAACAGGCGAGCGGACATGCAGGGTTCGCAGCCCGAGGTTCGCAAAGTTGTTACATCTCGGGCAGCCCCTGCATGTCGGCTCGTCCTTTTGGGAATTTCGGCCGGGGGCATCCCTTTAGGGTTTAGGGTTGGATGTAGGGTTTTAAGGGTTCTGCGATCACAGGCTTCGAGAACTCCAATACTTGGAGCGCCCTTCCAAACCAGTCTAACACTCTTTATTAAACAGTGATAGCAAAACCCTTTGAACCCCTAAACTGAACCCTAAAAAAAGCCCCCAAGCCCTGAACCCTAAGCCCTTTAAGCCCTTAGTCCTAAACTACAACCCCATAAACACCGCAGCAGCCCAGAACGAGGCCCGCGCATGCAGAGGACGGCGCTGCCGTCCTTGTAGGTCGTGAGCTTGATCGACATCCTTGAAAGTTTGAGTTCAGGCTTAGGGTTTAGCGTTTAGGGTTTTGGGGTTCGATGAAAGGTTTCCAATAAAGGGCCTAGAAGGGGGGTTTTGGATGTACAACAGCATCATGCTCTAGGGATTAGGACTTCGGGGTTAGAGGCTTAGTATGGGGTTTAGTCGTATAGTGCGGCGTATAGGCAAGAGTTTACGGTACACGGATTTACGGGCTTCGGGCTAAGGGGTTTAGGGTTTGGCACCCAACTAGGCTTCACAACCAACTACCTGCCCCATGTATCTGTGTGAAGCTGTAATCGTTTGGTTACCCTCGACGAGGTGAAGTTACCCGGAATAGCTTAAGTGACTGTTGTCACCAGTTTTCTCCCTCGTCAATAAGTTGTTACGGCCGTTCTGTCTCTTGCACCACTCTCTCTCTGACTCTCTGTGTCCCTCTCCCTTTTTTCTTAATGATGACGGTCAACTCATGGCCTGAGGGTCGGAATCTACATACCGTGTTGGAATGACAAAGAACCTAATCTTAGAGACCTGATTTCGGAAGGCCCCCGAACCATGCAATTCTCAAATTGCAGGCGACAGCACTTAGCCGCAAGTTTTTCGCGGGACTCCTGAAATGCAAACCGCGTGCAACACTACGTATCTGGATGTCGCATACTCTGTCTACCTGCCCAACTGTGTATCAATCTGATGCAGAGGCCTGAAGAATGAGAATGGTGTTTTGAGAAATTCACTATAATGAATCACAAACCCTGAACCCTAAACCCTGAACCCCTCAAAATCGTACTGGCAATTATTTAGGCCCCAAAATTACCTCCAACTTGTTCCACAAGGTCGTGATTGAAGGTGCACCGCTCAGAGCCGAGTTCAGAAGACGACGGTTTAGGGTTTAGGATTTAAGGGTTTAGGGTTTAGGGGCCTTTCCAGCCGAAAGTGTCGCTGCAAAGGGATTTGCTTATTCGGAGCCCTTTTGCAGGGTCTCAAGCGCCGGTAACTTCTGCGCACGCCACAGGACCTGCAGTTTGAGGACTTTGGACTTCAGCCCTAAAACCCTCAACCCAAACCCCGCGCCCAAAACTTGAGGCAAAGGAATCGCGTCTTCCAGTCTGCTCCGTAAAACCCCTTGGGCTCCGGCGGTGGAGCAGAACCATGTCGGACCGCACCTGCTCAGATGGGTTTAGAGTGTTAGGCTTCATATGGCTTCAGGGTCAAGGCAGAAATACTAAGACCATGACAACGCCGATGACGACGGCGACAAAGAAGACGACCACGAACACGACGATCACGACGAGGACGACGACGAAGAACTACCACCACTACCACTACTACTACTACTACCACCACCACCACCACCACCACCACGACTACGACTACGACTACGACTACAATTACAACAACAACAACTACTACTACTACTACTACTACTACTGCTACTGCTACTCATGATTCCAGCAAAGGGAACTCGAGCTGAACGGAGCGGAGAACGCACACCAAGGGTTTCTGTGAAGATGTACCGGGACCCGGAGTCTTCGCCAAGCTATCCCTAACATCATCTTCTTCAGCCACAAAAAGCACATCCTTGAACCATGACTACCAAGACATGCGGCACGAAGATCAGACAGAATCCGGCACCTGGGCGGTAAAAGTCGGCAAAAGTCAGGAGCGAACGCTCCTGTCACGAGTAAGAATCTGCCTACGCTGGCAACTGACACGAGTGCGATTTGGGGCATGCCATTAAGAGCATGTTTCACCCACAGTGTATCCAAAAACATCCTAGTCCTAGACAAATGATGATGATGATGATCATCATGACAATGATGATGACGATGACGATGATGACGATGATAATGATGATGCGTCAAGTGAGCCGACCACAGCTGTGCTGGAAGTCGGTTTGATCGTGCAATCGCATAAGGACAGTGACTGTTGTCATGATGATGCTGGCGGGAGCTGTGGCGAGAATGATGGTGTCGATGACAGTGAGCCTGAGGATACTCATCATCAGTCATCAGTCATCATCCTTATCATCAAACTCATCGTCACCATATGATGCCTATGGATGGTCGAGGTGATGGCACTGAGGATGGCGATGATCAAACTGCCGCTGCAGATGCTGCAAGTTATCGTATATCCGTATACCCAAGTATCCGATTGATGTTCATGTGCATCCATTCATTGGTGTATCAGAGGGGTTAAAATTCAAATGCTGACCAAAACCTGCTTTTTCATCGGGGTTGCCTTGACCGCCAAGCTACCCCTAAAACCTACATGGTACGGTCCCATTTTCAACAAGCCATTGAGGACCGTGCTGCCATACAAGATCAGTGTATAGAATCCTGTGATACTCCGCACTAAGGTCCGACAATTCCTGAACTTTATCCGTTGAACCCTACATCACATGATTTGCGAATGAAGATCGTTTACACTATATTGTACTATAACATGCAAGCAATATAGCATATATAGACATACACACAGACCCCATATATCTATGTGTGTATATATATACACATATATGTATGTATGTGTATATACATATGTATACATATATATATATATATGCTACCCCCCCCGCCCCCCCAGGACCTACCTTGAAGCCTTCTGCTACCCTATCCTGAACACATCAAAACCCGAATAGATATGTTAAGTAATGCATTTTACTCCCTCTCTGCAAAGACGTATACCCATGAAATTTAGAATAATCATGTTAAGTATTGCCTAACACCCTTTGTATGCGACAA